AAGAAAGGAAGGGAAGAATCCCTATGGGCTTTGGGATCAGAGTGTCCTGTGGGGGTCCCCAGCTCCGCCAAGCCCCAGCTTTTTAACTCTAGGCACATGACTTCATCCTTCTGAGCTTCAGTTTCCTCATCTGTCCCATGGCCTCCCACCACTGGGCCCCTCCCACCACCTGACTCCTCCCACTACCAGATCCCTCCTACCACTGACTCCTCCTACCAGCGGACCCCTCCCATCACTAGCTCTTCCCACCACCAGGCTCCTCAGAGCCCCGTGAGGATTAAAGCACACCTACAAACACACAGCCCTGTCCCTGCCAAAGGCAGGTTTCCAGAAATTGCTGTTTGTTTACCTGTCTCAATGTCTGCTATGTTTGTTTCCCTTTCAGAAACATCACAGCCCAAAGAGCCATGTCCTGTATGCTGCAGACAGCTGTGCCCACAAGGGCAGACCCAAGCTATCTGGGATGCCCTTCAAGCCCTTGATTTCCTCTCTTCTGAAACCTTCTCTAGTCTTCTTCCCTTACCAGCCGTGGCCCCTGTGTCTCCACGATGGGGGTGGCGGTGGAGTGGGTAAAAGGCTTTGAGAAATGCTGGCTCCTCACATCTGGTGCTTCAGGTAACATGGGCTCTTTCAGAGGGGCTGCCAGTTACTGCCCGGGACATCAGGCCTAATGGAAACATTCTGGGTGGGGAGGATGGGCCAGCTCATTGATCCTCCTCCCACACACCCAAGGCAGGGGCAGATGGACCCAGCCCTCCCCGTCTGCAGAGCTCCTGTCTGACTCAGCCGCTGTCAGGCTAGTCGAGACAGCGTGTGTCCAGGAACGTGTCACACAGGCTCTAGCCATGCTCCTCAGTTGCCTGGTTACTCTGAGCTTGGCCACAAGTGTGAGGAGCTCCTTGATGGGATTCTGCCAGTTTGGTGGTATGGGCTGGACCTGGAAGTGGCCGGCTGGATTACAGAGCCCCTGACGTGTGAGGTGGAACACACATCCTGTGAAGGCAGGTCAGAGGGCACAATGCTCTGGGCTTGGAGAGGACCAAAGCAGAGCCTGGAGTGTGGAAGGGATGCTCTGATGCTCTGAGGAACTGACTGGACCTGATTCTTCCATCCCCCACCAGCTGGTGAGATGGACTGGTTGGCACCCGGCAAAGAGCACCGTACAGGGACTCAAGATACCTGGGTTCAAGCCTCAGTGCCGGCCCCTCCCAGAAATCATTGCTCCACTGCTTTCCAGCTTCCAGGGACTGTAATTAGTTTTCACTCCCTGCCTGTCTCTCTGGGAGCCCTGCTATCTGCCCACTCCCTGTCATCTTTTCCTCCCTTCTTCTTCCTCCCCACCTGAGGACCGCACGTCTGCCCACCCCCCATAAAAACCCAGTGCTGCTGGGCTGACTGGGACTCAGCGACACCATGCGTTTGTTAGAGTAGAACCAAGCACTGTGCGGCTTTCGTGGCAGTAATCTTTACAGAAGCAGATCACCAGAACTTTCTTCCGTGGCACCACTTGGTGAGTCTGAACCACGAGCCTACAGGTAGCCTATAGGGAGCAGTCAAGTCCAAACCTTTTGTGCTGCCCAGGTTCCCTCCCTCCTCTAGACTCAGATTTCCTGGCTCGAGAAGTTGAGGATCCCCGATGCCAAAACCAGCAACTGACTGTCTTTGCTAAGGGCTCTAGGCCAAGGAATGGGATTAGAATCCTTGGCGAGTTCACATGGGTCAGGGTTAAATTAAACCCCGCGAATGGCTGTCGAAGGGGGCCCCCTCCCCAAAGTCCTTCACAAGAAGGATTGTCGGCTTAGGGCGAGCCTGCTAAGAAACTGGGAATCTCAGAGGCTCCCCCAACAGCCCTAGGGTTCTCCTCTTGCCTTCTACTGAGATGAGAAGAGTCCCGAGGCTTCCCCTGAACGTCTCCTGCGGGGTAGCTGGCCTCTTCACCGCACGCCCACCCAGTCTCGCGCTAGATTATTTACAATATTCAGAATTCTAGTCAGTGGAAGGCCGCGTGCACGGTCTGTGGGTCAGCACAGAGTGCTACCTGTCCCGCTCAGAAGACAATACGCTTCTTCAGGCTGTGGGAGGAGGAGAGGGAGCGACGGTGGCTCCCGGGAGATGAGAAGAGCACGGGGACCTCTGCAGGAGAGAAGAGCATGCTGGGCTCACACTTTATGGCAGACAGCGTGCTCGGTGGCAGTATGGGGGCGGGGAGCCACCACAGCAGCCGCAGCACCAGAAACAGCTCTGGAGCCAGGCCTGTCGGAGGTGAGGGGCTGTGGGTGAGTCCTCACTGTCCTTGGCTGACCCTTCTTCCGAGGCCAGAACGGATGGTGGCGGGGGGTGGAGGCAGGAGGGGCCCCTTCCATCAATCACCGTGCTGGACGCTGGGCTGACGGCTGGCCAGTCAGGCACTCGGCGTGCCCCTAATGACACACATTGCCTTCTCTACCTGAGACCCCACCTTTTGTTCTGTGGTCCCAAGTAGCAAGACTGTCCTTAGGACGACATAGGAGCCCGTGCCTGATGGAACCGTCCCCTAGGCAGCAACCGAGCCCTGGCAAGAGGCGCCTGGCCTCCAGTGGAGGAAGCTCTGAAGCCTCTCCTCGCTGCTCCCCACCTTCTTATTTTCAGATCATCACCATCGTAACCACTGCCACCATCCTCCTCCTCCTCTTGGTTAACAGGCAGAGCTCATAGCTGCCAGGCCTGGTTCTGAGAATATCGCCTCATACAAACCTCACAGCTCAGTGAAGAAAACCTGACTAGCATTTTATAAGGGGGAAAACTAAGGCAGCCAGAAGGTACATGACTGCCTGCGGTGGGACTCACACTGAGGCAGTCTGACGTCAGCATCTGTGTCCTCACCACTAGGCTACAGTGGTCCTTATCAGGAGATGTTTCCATAGGGCTGAGAGTCAGTGCCCCTCCGCTGCTGTCTCCTCACATCCTATGCAGGAACCCTAGCTGTAAAAGATGACAATGGTTCTACATCCTCACTGCCTATCCCCACAGGACCCTGGGCTCAGGGGAACCCAGTGGGGAAAATGCAACCCCACATGCCCTTCTCTCTGTCTGTGGACACAGCACCTGCCTGCAGGTGTGAGTCCCAGACAGGGCTGGGGGAGGTGACAGGGACAGTGACGTGTCCTGGGCACTCACTGTATGCTAGGGCTGCAGTGTTTTTGCATGTCACCTAATTGAACCCTGGACAGTGGTCACTGTCATCATTGTTGCTTTACAAATGAAGAAACCAGGCCCAGAGCAGGGCAGTAGGAGCTGAATCACCCTCAGGAAGAGCCTGCGTTGCGTCCTGCACTGTGGCCCTGCACTGTCACCCTCTGAACCGACGTGGCTCTCTCCCCACCCCCCAGTTAGGTGTAGGGGCCGTGGGATGTGGGGACCCTGTGAGATGGGTGTAAAGCCACAGGACACGGGGACCTTCCTTGAAGGATGTAGGGTCTGTAGGATGTGGGGACCTCACAAGATGGGTGTAAGGCTGTGGGATGCAGGAACCCCCTCTTGGTGGATGTAGGGGCTGTAGGAGGTGGGGACCCTGCAAGATGGATGTAAAGCCAATGGGATGTGGGGACCTCCCTTGATGGATGTGGGGGCCACTGGACACCCCCATGTTGGGTGTGAGCCCATGACCAGCTGCATGTGGGGTACTGCCCTTGTTGCTGATGGGAGGTGAGGGGAAGGCTGTCAATGAGAGGGGAAGGAGCAGGTGCGCAGACAAACGTGGTTACATGTCAACAAAACAGGCACTTGAGCACAAGATGCTGCGAGCCCACGGAGGACAAAGGTAGCTGGCAGGCTCTCGTGCCTCCAGCAGTGGCATCCTCTCTGCCTGCGTATGTTCCCAGGGCCACGAAGGCCACAGCTGTGGCCCTGGGCTGCCACCCTGGGCCCCACACAGCTGACCCACCTACCAAGCCTCTGTGATGCAGCTCACTACAGACTATGGGGTGCAATTCTAAGAAACACTGTCTGCTTTTCTGAAAGATGCCTCGTCAGAGGTGGCGGGGAGCCGGGCCACATTAAGTCCTACCTGCAGCCTTATTTCACCTGAGGACAAATGAGGGAATGGCTGCCATGTCACAGAGCTCATTGAGAGATGCTCCCGATGACAGTCCCCGGCCAGTGCTCCCTAGGCCTCTGACCTGGAACCCCGTGCCACCATGGGAGCAGCCACAGGACGGCTGGAGCTCAGTGCCCACGGTTGGCGCCCCCGGGTCTATGGGGCTGGGTTAGGACCCACTGCAAGAATGAAGCCCGACAGGGAGGGAGTAGAAGAGGGTCCTTATATCGTGGGAATTGCAGTCACAGTCACGCAACAAAATACGTAGAACAGCTGAATGGAAAACCAGTCTGCTCTGTAAGCGTTCCCTCAAGTCACAATAAAATGTTATTTAATAATAATAATAATAAAAAAAATAATAAAAGAACAAAGCCCCGTTGTGCTGCATCCGCCCAAGCACAGAGACACTGCCTTGCTGCAAAAATAAAGGTGCCAGGAGGAACCCTGGTTCCTTCATGCACTTATGCTGGTACACGTGGCACCTGCTGGACAGTCCTCACAGGTGGCCAGCTCAAATCATAACGCTGAGCCACGGGCAGGGAGGGTGTGGGCAGGGAGGTGTGTCCCCAGGGGCTGGCTCTGGGCGACTTGTGACCTCTCTCTCAGTCTGTCCCTCATACACACAGCACTTCCGCTCTCTCCAGAGTTCCTCTTTGATGTGGAGAAGCCCAGGAAACGCTTCCCCCGTTTGATGCCCAGATTCCCAGCGATGTGAAACTGGGCGGGGAATATAGATACAGTGCCTCCCGCCAAACCACACAGCCAGGCTCTTTCCCTCTAGGGATACAGGGTCAGGGGAGAAAAGAGAAGCGGGCCGGCATGTGGTGGCAGTGACGCTCCCTCAGTCCAGAGCCCCTACTTCCTCCCACAAGACCAGTGAGGGCTGCCTCTGAAGGAAGGCCCCGTGGCCAGGCCACCACCTCACCTTTGCATCCTGCTTGGTGACAAAGTCGACGAAGCCAAACCCTCTGTGCGCACCTGTTCCAGTCATCTTCTTAGGCAGGCGCACGGTCTTCAGCTCCCCAAAGGTGCTACGACAAAAGGGAAAACACGGAGTTTAAGAACTGAGGTCCGCTGGGGGTGGTAGGACTGACTCTTACATGGGAGGTTCTGGGTTACAGAGATGTGTACTCAGGCACATATGCACACATTCCCCCCACATGCCTCTGTATATGCATGCCACACATGCCCATGTACACACACACAGGCCCACAGGCAGCACACACACACATATATGCATACATGAATGCATACATACACATGCATGCACCACACATGCCCACAGGTGGCACACGCATGCACACACACACGTGGGTGCATGTACACACACACACACACTCACTCACACCAGCTCCCCATGGGCACATGCTTACAGTATATACAGCCTTCTCCCAGGCCCCAGCTAGCCACCATGCTGCATGGGGAGGGAGGGAGGACTGACTGGGTCAGAGATGCTGATGGAATTTTCTCTTCTACCCCAACAAGCTGGCTTTCCCACTGACCTAAATGCCTCTCCATCCCCGTGGTGGCAATACTTAGCTAGGGGGACTGAATGTTACATATGTGTGGCCAGGCCAAGGAGGGCTGCTCGTGTGCCGCTGGGGTCTGGATGCGGGCTGCCAGGGGCCTCCTGACATCCCACCCTGCTTTCACATCTGAGAGGTCCTATGCTGGGCAAGAGGACGGAGCCCTCTCCCCTGGACCTGCGCCCAAGACATCGCTCCAGGGCTCAGTATGTGCACAGGTGACAGGGCTCCTCCCTATGAGCCCTGCCTCCTCTCCTCTCAGCACTCTCTCGGCTGTCTGCTAAGCCCAAGTGAGGCAAAGCCCCTGAGAAGACAATGGCTGGGTTCTTCCGGCAGGGATCAGGCAAGTAAACATGCCTCAGGCTACCCCCAGCCCCTCCTCTCCTTGGGGGAAATCTCTGAGAAATTCTAGGACAAAAGGCCCATGCTTTCTCCGGGTCTCTCCCTTTCCTACCTTCCTCCCTCCCAACTCCTTCTTAATGTCCATTTATCAAACATATACACACAAACTGCTGCCGATAAATATTTAATGTGCCTGCATCTGAAGAAAGGTGTTATTTTACTTGAAAATCTACACACACTCATGGGCACCTGGGTGCACATGCATGCACACATCGGCCTAGGAAGCTTCAGGCCAAAGACCGACAGGGTAAGAAACACAGTTCAGGCCGTCAACTCCCGTGAAACGATATAAGCTAAATCCAGGGGTTAGCCTGCAGCCCTGCCAGCATGACGAGGCATCTGCCAGCCCAATTTCTGAAGGCAGGCCAGTGTGCAAATGCGGCATGATGAAGCCTCTGAATGAATCCGCACGTCCCCTCGCCGCGCTCCCTGGCAGCTCTGCTCCCCCTCCTGGCGCTCTCAGCCGCGGAAGGAGGCAAGCAGACCCAGCCAGCCAGGGCCCAGGCCAGCTTCCTAGGGAGGCCGGCAGCCGGCAGGGCGCCCTGTCAGTTTTCCCAGTTTCCTGGGCCCCACAGTGAGCAGGAGCAGGCTCAGGGCTGATTTGGAAGAGCTGGGGCGGGGCAGGGCAGGTTGGGGCCATGGAGGCGTGAGACTGGAGAGATGAGCTGAGCCCTCAAACGCAAACCCAGCTTCATTCTGCCATCTAAAGGCCGGCGTGGCCCACGACAAGTGAGCTGTCTCTTGCTTTCACGTGAGCCCTGGAGGGCAGGGAGGGAGCTGAGTTTTCTTGCAGGCGTGTTCAAAACAGAGCCCCCTGGGCTCTAAGTTCTGACAGCTGCTGGGGCAACAGGGACAGTGCATCTGGTAGCTGCGAAGACCCGAGATGGGAGGCATTCCGCCCTGGTATGAGGACACTGGAACCCCTGGGTGGCGCACAGGGTTAACATACTCAGCTGCTAACCAACAAGCTGGTGATCTGACTCTGCCCAGAGGCACTCCTGGGAGCCCTGGCGGCGCACTGCCTAAGGCACTTGGCTGCTAACCGGAAGGCTGGTGGTTCAAACCCACCAGCCACTCCTCGGAAGGAAGGTTGGGCAATCTACTTCCGTAGTGATACTGCCTCGGAAACCCAGGGAGGGGTGGCTATGAGTCAGATCTGACTCCACTGGCAGTGGGTTTGGTTTTCTTTTCTTTTTTTTTTTTTTAGAGGCACCACAGAAGAAAGGCCTGACAATCTACATCTGAAAAGTCAGCCATTAAAAACCCCCCAGATTGCAGCTCTGCAGTGACACCTTGGGGTTGCCAGGAGTTGGAGCCAACTCCACAGCAAGTTTTCTTTATGAGAAGTTTGCAAAGAGCAGGGGTCACGGTGCATACCTACTGTGTGCCTGGATTGTGCCAGGTGCTTTGCAGACATGGTCACAGTCACCCCTGGGCGTGCTGGTCTCCTGACCTGGCTCACCGCCCCCCTAGCCCCCACTGACTGTGGAACCACATCTTTTCACCCCTCCTGCTGGGTGTGCAGCGAGTCAAGGGCCTGGCTGACAGGGAAGCCTGAAAATATTTCTAACTACCCACAAGGAAACAAGTGGCCTGGAAGACGTGACCATCGGTACATTCTGCTCACATTCAAAGGGTGTGAAGAGGGCAGGTGAACCCGTGCATGGAGGAAACAGACAGCATCCACGTGACTCATCCCCACCCCCATCTCACAGACGAAGAAACTGAGGCGTGGGGGACAGTGGTTCTTGTCACTAGGTGGCATGGCTAGAATCTGAATTCAGGCATGTCTGCTAAGCCTGACTTTCTCTTTCTGCCACAGTTTTCGCCTCCCTTCCATCATCTGGTTCGATTCTAGTCCGTCCACAAGCTAAGGGCTCTCTCTCTCTCTCTGAGGCCTGGCCGGGTCCAGGGGTGAAGCAGGAAGCTATTGGTGAGGATGGATGCAATGCATTAGGCGGACATTTGGGGGTCAGGGACTTGCCCAAGATCACTGAGCTGGGGGACAGTCTGAGTCCCTGGTCCTTCTGTCCCTGTGTGTTCAAGCCCCTTGTTTCTGCCCACAGGGGCTACATGTCTCCTCCTCTCCCTTGATGGTCTCCACTGATCCCAACCCAGGTTTCTTTACAGTCCTGTTTCATTTCTGGTCAGCCAGCCTTTGTGTGTGTGTGTGTGCACATGCTACAGAGAGAGAGAAAGAGAGGGAGAGGGAGAGAGGAGCAGAGAGAGAGAGAGAGATGCTGAGGCCTCCCTCCCTGCAGCCCACTGCGAACGGGATGCTCTGTGCATGGCAAGCAGCTCAGGGTCCGGAGGAAGGCGAGGAAAATAATTAAAAGGTGGAGAAAAAGGCTGCTGAGCAGAGGGGGGCCATGCCTACGTGGTCTGCAGAAGTGGCATTTGAGAGTTCGGCAGGGGGAGCTGTGACAGAAGGCACACCGGATCTGTGAGGGATCGGGAAGCTGGGCTCCTGTCCCAGGTAGCTCTGGGGTCCTGGGGGGTGCCCCCACAGCCTCAGTCTGGGGTTTCGAGACAGACATCTGCATGGTGAACTGGATACTCTGTCCAAAAACCTCTGTCACTTCGGAAGTCCCATCAGTCTGTGGAGGGCCAGGGAAGCGATCTGATGAGCCCGTTTTCCTTCCCGAGGGAGCTGAGGCTTAAGGAGCAGCTGGGAAGATTAGGTGTAGCTCTCAGAAGGAATTGCCTGACGTTTGTGAAGGAAATGAATGGCCATACACCATGGCTCCCCATGACCAAGCGCCTACCATTGGCTGTTGTTGTCAGTTGCCACTGAGTCAATTTCAACCCATGTACAACTACTCCATTGAGTTGTCAAGGCTATGACCTTTCAGACATAGATGGCCAGGCCTGTCTTCTGACATGCCTCTGGGTGGGTTTGAACCACCAACCTTCCAGTTAGCAGTCCAGTGCTTAACCATTTACACTACTCAGGGAATGTGCTATTGTTGGGCGCCACTGAGTCAATTTTAACTCATGATGTCCCCATGGGACAGAGAAGAACTGCCCCATAGGATTTCCTGGGCTGTAATCTTTACAGATGTTGACTGCCAGATATTTCTCCCATGGAGCTACTGGGAGGGTTTGAACAACCAACCTTTCGGTAAGCAGCCAAGCACTTAAACATTATACCACCAGGGCTCTTACCATGACAGGCTAGACTTTTTAAATGTGTTACTTCCAGATGTCACAATGACGAGGGACCACAGTGTCCCCAACTCCATTTTACAGATGAGAAAACTGAGGGCCAGAGCGGCTGTGATCAGCCCCCGCCCTGGAGCGCCTGGACACAAACGCTGGGGTGGGCTGTCTTTTCCACATCGCTTCTCCTGACCCAGAATGCTGCTGGGCCCTTGAATGGCTCTGGTGGCTTTTATGACTGTGTAGCATAATATAAGGCCAACACTAACGATCTCAGGGAGATATCGAAGGAGAATTAAAAAGAAAAAAAAAGGTTGGGGAAAATCGATAAAGTACCTTTAGCTCCTTGGAGATAAGCGATATATAAACACCAGCCATTACTAAGGGTCTTATCTGACAGCGAGGGCACTGGCGCCATTGCTGTAAGTGGTTTGGGGAGGACGTTCTAGGAAACCTGCCCTCCAGGAGCACGGACCACCAGCTGCCACAGGGGGCAGGGCCACCGGGAGTGGGGAGGGAGGCAAGGCACAGGGCACCCAAGGCCTCCCCCAGCACCCAGACTCCCAGACTCCATGCTGAGGGGGGGGAGCCACGCATGCTCCCCACTGTGTAGATAATAGAAACCACAAAATAGCAATTACTGTATCTGAAGCTGTGAATAAAGAGGACATACCCAGCTTTTAAACATGGCCCTCCTTCCCTCCCCCACCACGCTCACACTTTAGTAACAAACTCACACCTCACTTTTCCAATTATTTCATTCACCTCGGGTTCACCAATTACTCCCCAACGCCAGGCCCCACTCCCTCCGCCACGCTGCGCGTGACTGGTGATGCGACTGGTGGCGCGCTGTGCCTTCTGACAACTGGAGTTTGTTGTCACGTTTCTAATTTCTTTCAAGGTGTGCATGCGTGGGAGGGGCTGTGAGGGACAGAGGAGTGGGA